TTTATTTTTCACCTAATACTTGGATCATTTTTTTTCAAACTATGTGTTTCATTTCTTTGTTAACACCCTCTAAGTCTATCTACAAATATTTCTTTTTCACTGCTGACATTTAAAAACACTGGTCTTAGATTTGTCTCCCAATAGATCAAAGTAAATTATACTGAACCTGACTTTCAAAGCTGGGGTAATGATTATAAGAATCAACTAAATTTAGTGAACATTATTTGGAAATAACATAATTGCATGTATTAAAAGCTCCTCAGGATATGCATACTTTTAAATGTTTTTATGTCTTTCTGTGTCTTAGGACATTTCAATTGCTCCGATATAGTAGATTCAGTTTTGATCATAAATTTAGACATTTTAAATCAAACGAATCATTAATATTTTTATTAATAACCTTAAAAATTGAGCTTGATCTTGCTGATTAAATAAAATTTTTCTTTTTCTTTACTAAGGTACTTATCCCGGCACATAACTAAAATCTATTAGTTGGCACAGATAAGCCTATAAACCTACACTAGGGAAGAATACTGGTATAATTCCAGTTGCTGGGAAGTGATGCTGTCTTCATTGTTTGTTGCTGTTCTTGTTGTTGTTTGTTATTATGAGGAAACAACCACGCTACATGAGCAACAATGATTATGCATGGAAGGAGTTTATCACCATAAGTAAAAGGAACTTACAACAAAGTTATTCTGATGTTTCATATTTTATGCTATGCATTATCAATGTGCTACATGACACTTAGAAATAAATGGTAAACAACTCAGATGAATGCCAAAGTGATGTTACTTTTGCATCACTAAAGCAAACGTGTCTGGGATGGGAAGGGGAAATAGGTATGGTGATTCCAGTCTTCTCTCCTGCATGAGGGAACTGGTCTTTGGAGGTTGAAAAGTCCTACCTGTTTTAACACAGGAGAATCCTCCTTCTATAAGATACTTCTATATGTGATTTGTCGGGATAAAAGCAGTATTAACCTTCACAATTCAGGTGAGTTACTTAACTTTTGTGCCACATACTCAAGTACAATTTCAATTATGCATATTATTATACGTGAAAGTGTTTTCTTCCTACAAGTAGAACTAAGAAAATGAGTTTTGATAGAGCAAGATAAAGAATAAGAAAAATATACTATATTGAGTATTGGGCACTGTGAAGGACAGCAACTCAGCTTAAAAAAAAAAAGTCCTTAGCAAAAAAAAAAAGGTATGAAATTGATGGGGCAAAGGAGGAAAGGGGTGAAACAGAGAGGTATGTGAAAAGAGAGAGAGAGAAAGGCTTAGAAAAGGAAAGGGAGGCCCGAAAAATAGGAAGAGATGAGACAGGTCCAGGGAAACCCATACACACAGCACTGAGGAAACGCATGGAAGCAAAGAGTCATCAAGCAGGACCTACACTTCTCCTTCACTCACCTTCCCAGAGCACAATCCAAGATTTAGCATCATAATGTGATTTCACAAGCATTGCTTTTGACCACAGAGTAGATAAGATTGAACCAGCAAATTCAAGAATTTAGACATAATTTACTGCCAACTCAAAATTGTAAGCAATTCTTTCCTCCCAACTGGACTACATTTATCCAATTTAAAGAAGGAAACAAAGAAATATATTGTTTATATTATAAAATAAAATAATACAAAAAAATCTCAGGCAAAACATTCCTATACATACATTTGAAAAGCTGGCTGCATGTAAGGAACATTCCTAAGGTGAGAATCTGTCTCCATCTCTGTTCTATATTCCCTGAAGAGTTGAAAACTTGACTTTAATAAAGATTTTTAATATTACTATCAAATAGGTACCACAGTACAAGAACCATTCCACATATTCATATTCTTTTTTATTTACCAGTGCACACAAAGGGAAAGCTCTACTGTCTTAATGGGTAAAATAATGACTACATTGATTAACTCTTCAGACTATGGTATTATTTTATTATAATTTGATTATACAGAAAAAATTAGAAAGCTTCACTTAGTAGTCACAAGTTTATTTATCTCATAATATTTTAAAACTAAACTCTCAACTGGAAGAAAGAGGGAAAAGCAAATCACATTCAGGCTTCATATCATGCTCATTCTGATTATTATGCCAACAATGCTAGGACTAGGAGGGACAGGATAAATATGCAGTGTCTTCTAGAAGTTTATGGAAAATCTGTATTATGAAAAAATTATACATGAATTTCAAAATATTTTGCACCAAAATAAATGTATCTTTTAATTGCCTTTTTTCATGAACTTTTTTTGAAGTCTCCTCATTTGATCAGATTCCCATTTCAACTCAGTGAACTATAGGACAATATGGTAAAATTGTTAAAGGTATAATATAAATTGCTCAATATCTTCTTAAAATCAAAACAGATTATATGGTTCAAAAATAAAAGACAATGGGGCTGGTGCTGGGACACAGAGAGTTAAGCAGCCACCTGCAACATTTACATCCCACATAGCAGCGCTGGTGAGTCTTGGCTGCTCTGGTTCCAATCCAGCTCCCTGTTAATGAGTCTGGGAAAGCAGCAGTAGATGACCCAAGTACTTGGGCCCCTACCATCCATGTGAGAGACCAGAATGAGTTCCAGGGTGCTGGCTTCAGCCTTGGCCCAGCCTGACTGTCCCTCTCTCCCTCCTTCTGTCCCTCTCTCACTCTCCTTCTATCTGTCACTCTGCCTTTCAAATAAATAAAATATTTTTTCTGAAAATAAGAAAGTGACAAGGGCAGGTATTTGGGCTAGCAATATCTGTTAAGATGTCAATGGCCTGGGGTCGGCACCCTGGCTCACCTGGTTAACCCTCCGCCTGCGGCACCGGCATCCCAGTCCAGCTCTCTGCTGTGGCCCGGGAGTGCAGTGGAGGATGGCCCAAGTGCTTGGGCCCCTGCACCTGCATGGAAGACCAGGAAAAAGCACCTGGCTCCTGGCTTCAGATTGGCGTAGCGCTGGTGGTAGTGGCCATTTGGGGAGTGAACCAATGGAAGGAAGACCTTTCTCTCTATCTCTGTCTCTCACTGTCTATAACTCTACCTGTCAAATTTAAAAAAAAAAAAAAGGTTGCCAATGGCCCACATCAGAATACGTGGGTTCAATTCCTGGTGCCAGCTCCTGACTTTAGTTTCGGACTAATGAAGCACCCTGGGAGGCAGCAATGATGTCTCAAGTACTTTGATTCTATTACCCAGGTGAGAGACCTAGATTGAGTTGCTGACTACCAGCTTTAGTACAGCCCAGTTCCCAGTTACTGTTAGCATTTAATGACTGAACCAGAGGATGAGGGACTGCACAAATGAGCTCACTCACTTGCTCTCTCTCTCTCTCCCTCCTGTAAGCCTCTCAAATAAATAAATGGCATCAAAGAAGCCAAAATAAACAAAAAATCATACAAAAACTATGCCTTTAAAAATATATACTTGAAAGAGAGAGTTACAGAGAAAGAAAGAGAGATCTTCTATCCACTGATTCACTCCCCAAATGGTCACAATGCCCAGGACTGGGCCAGGCCGGAGCCAGGAGCCAGGGGCTTCATCAGGTCTCCCATATGAATGCAAGGTCCCAAGCACTTAAGTGATCTTTTACTGCTTTCTGAGGAGCATTAGCAGGGAGCTGCATTGGAAGTGGAGCAGCCAGGAGTTGAACCGGTACCCTATGGGATGCTGGTGTCACAGGCGGTGGCTTAACCTGCTATGTCACAACGCCAGCCCCAGCCCCAGCCCCAGCCCCAGCCCCATTTTTTTGAAGATTTATTTATTTATTTATTTGAAAGGCAGAGTTATAGAGAGAGAAGGAGAGAGGGAGAGGGGGGAGTTGTGGGGGAGGGAGAGAGATTATGCCTTTTTACAAAAAGTCTTTGCAGTTCTTCCTTCCGAAAAATTAAACCAGACAGGGCCAGACATACCAAAAATTCTAATAATATGCTATACCTGTATACTGCTTTACTCTACAAAGAACACTTTATTTGGCTTATTCTTTACAATGGCCCTGCAACTTCCGATGAGTAAACAGATATTTAAGAAGCTAGACTAGTTTACCCATAAGTGGCAGAATAACATAATCGCTTTAGAGTCAAGATAGACCTCACTGTGAATTCCAAGTCAGCTTATCTGCCACCTACAAGTTATGTGACATCATGTGACATTAGGCAATCTCTCTAAGCCTCAGTTTCCTGATCTGTAAAATGCATATAATAAGTAAGGTCAATGGGATAATAAATACATACAGCACTTGACAAAATCCCCAGCACATATTCAGTACCCTACAAAGGACAACTCTACCACTTAACCATCGAACCAGAGCAAGCTATTTAACCTTTTGATTTGTCAATTTTTTCATCCATAAAACAGTAATAACAATAATTACTTAATACAGCCACTGTGATGATGAAATTCATGTCACTTCATGTACAGCAAATGACAGGTAATGATATCTGTACATATGTATATGCTTATATTTAAAATAGAAGATAATAAACAGTAAAACAGAATCAGGGCCTAAATCTTCTATGGTGAGTTCTCCCTTTTTTAAGATTTAATTTACTTATTTGAAAGACAGAGTGACAGACAGAAAGGGAGAGATAAGGAGAGAAAGAAATCTTCCATATGCTGCTTCACTCCTCAAATGTTCTCAATAGCAGGGTCTAGGCTAGGCTGAAGCCAGGAGCCAGGAACTCCATCAGGGTGTCCCATGTGGGTGGCAGGGGCCCAGGTACTTGGGGCATCTTCCACTGCCTTCCCAGGTGCATTAGCAGGGAGATGAATGGGGAGTAGAGCAGGTGGGACTTGAACAGGTGCTCTGATATAGGATGCTGATATCAATGGTGGCAGATTAACTCTCTGCACCACAATGCTGGTCGCTGTTAAGATCTCTTAAGATCAAAACAGCTAGATATTCCTAATTGTATTATCCAAAAAATGGAAGACCACTTTCTCACAATTCTATTGAGAAGAAATAAATATAGAAATATCTCTGAAAATGATTTCAAAAAGGAAAATATCCAAGTTACCTGAATTAAGGCCTCACTCAGCATGTCCTCATTAACCTCCAGGATAATGTTTTTTATGTCTTCATATGGCATGCGATATGATCCCAGGAAGATAGCTAAAAGAAAATTTGATTTTATTTGAAAATAGAATAGCAACAAAATTTTAAGAGTCTTCATAAATGCCTGTCTCTCATTTCATAAACTCAAAATATAAATTTTTTGTCACTAGCCCTAATTCACAGAATTATGAACAAACAAAAGTTGTCTCCATGTGACGGAATACTCTATCTGAGCAAAGTGGCACTAAGGCTCTAACATTTTTAGCTCAAATATGTTTAGATACAATATAAAACCCCTAGTAACATAACACTCATGACTATATGCTTATGCATTTTAGGTGAGGTGATATAAAATAGCCCATAAAAACTTATAATTTTATTTCAGGTTAGACTTTTAATTCCATGTAGAATTTAGTGTAGAAATTGTCAGACAAATCCCAAATAGCACTGCTTAGCAATGACACTAAAGTATCCAAATAAAAAAGCATATCAATCTATAATGGTCTCTCCTATTCAGTTTCACTTTCTGCAGTCTCCTTCAAAGACAAAAGAAAAAAACCAAGGTCTGAAAATATTCAATGGCAAATTCCAGAAATAAGCAATTCGTAAGTTTCACATTGCATGCCATTTTCTTTTTTTAATTTTTATTAATTTTATTTGCTTATTTGCATGTTATAGACAGAGTTCAGATCCTCTAGTTCACTCCCCAAATGCCCACAGTAGCTGTGGGGAAGTAGTAGTAGGGGGAGAGGGAGTTAGCAGCAAAGTGGAGGTCAGCAAATCTACGTATCAGATACTGAATCCAGGTCTCCCAGGTGGGTTTGCAGAAACCCAACCATCTGAGGGACCATGGCTGCCTTCCAAGATCTGCACTAACAGGCGGCTGGAATCAGAAGACATAAATAAGAGATGAACCCAGGCACTCTGACATGGGAGGTGGGCATCCTAATTGGTGCCTAAACACTAGGTCAAGTAAATGCTTCTGTGGCTAATTTTTAATTGTGTGATAAAATCTTGGTGCTTTTCCATCTTGTCCCACCCAGAATATGAAGCACCCTCCTGTCTAGCATATCCATGTTGTATACACTACCCACACATTAGTGATTTAGTGGTTGTCTATGTTATCAGACTATCACTGTGTGGCACTGCTTGTGCTCATGAAACACTTACTTTTACTTATGGATCCAAAAGGCCAGAATAATTATGCTGACAATTCCGATACAACAAAGAGAAGCCATAAAGTGCTTCTTTTAAGTATTATATCATCACAGCCAGCGCCATGGCTCACTAGGCTAATCCTCCACCTGGAGCACCGGCACCCCAGGTTCTAGTCCCAGTTGGGGCACCGGTTCTGTCCTGGTTGCTCCTCTTCTAGTCCAGCTCTCTGCTGTGGCCCAGGAGTGCAGTGGAGGATGGCCCAAGTGCTTGGGCCCTGCACCTGCATGGGAGACCAGGAGGAAGCACCTGGCTCCTGGCTTCGGATTGGCACAGTGCGCCTGCCATAGCGGCCATTTTGGGGGTGAACAAGTGGAAGGAAGACCTTTCTGTCTTTCTCTCTCTCTCACTGTCTAACTCTGCCTGTCAAGAAAAAAAAGTATTATATCATCACAAGAAAGGTGAGCATAGTACAGAAAGATATTTTGAGAGAGAAGAGGCTACATTCACATTACCACATTACCTTTGTCACAGTGTATTTTTATACTCGGTCTATTTTATCATTAATTATTATTGTTAACCTCACACTATGCATGAATGATAAATTAAACTATCACAGATACATATGCACAGGAAAAAATATAGTACATATATAGGGTTCAGTACTATCTGTGGTTGAAGGCATCCACTGGAAGTCTTGGGACACACCTCTCAGATATAAGGATGGACTACTTTACTTTGCAATTCTTCTACATAAGAAAAAATGTTAAGTGCCTGAATTATCAATGCACTCTGTCTCCCTGCTGACATTCATGTAGTATACTATTAGTCTTAATTGGATATATATCATGACACACTGAAATAGTTCAACAAATTATACCTAGAATTGCTCATAATTACTCAAAAAGTATTTTTAACGACATGTTCCACTTTAATTTCCACTAAACATAGTTTTTAAAGAATACAGATATGTTCTTATCACCAAAATCTGAACGTATTTCTAAGATTTTTTTCATGAAAAAGATTATGACTTCACTGGTACCTGAAGAAAAAAATCTTGTATCTGCAAATGTTTACCTAGACATTAAGACCAAATGAGGTCTTCACAATCAAAATAAAAAATGTTGACAGATATCAACCAGCAATTAAGATCATGTTATGTTATGAAATGATGTATTGAACGTGAACTTTATAAAGAGAATGTACTATCAGATAAGCAATGTACAAATTTACAATGATTAGAAGACTGCTTTTCTGACAGCAACATTCCTACTGACACAAGAATGATGAGTTGTTTACTTAAATGGGATTCTCTATAGTATACTCTTTAACAAAACAAACTCCCATGACATTCTTTTGTACAATTAGAAATACTTGATGTGTTGGAATTTCTCATGCAAGGTGTTTTAGTATCCTTAGAATCTAAACATAGTCTACTGTAGTTAATAAGAAAAAAACAGCTCTGAATTCAACAAAGAGGGAAGAGTTTGTCAGGATAAAACTTAAAAGATTTTCTTAAATGAAGATGGGTTTAACTGTCTAGACACTTTAGCAAAAGCATATTTAATGGCTGACTGGTTTGTTAAGGTGTCAGGATTCACTAACCAGTTTTAAAGTGCAGTGGTTAACAATTTTAACTAGCTCACATCACAATTACTGGCAAAACAAAGGAATAGCTATAAAATGTTTTGTTCAGTATGTCCAATAAATACTCTAAAACTCTCAATCTCAGACCTGGATGGAAGGAAAAAAGAAAACTTCCTTTCAATTCTGCCTGATATTTCACTGTGTCCTTTAATAATGATTTATTAAGAAGACATTCCAAAGATTCATTATTCATAAGTTTTACCTGGCCCAACCAAGGCTAAATTATGATTTTATCCATATAGGCTCTATATTGTCTAAGTATTTACATGGAATTTTGTTTCCAGTAAATAAGAAATGCACCTGTTCAAAGAAGTTGCAACAATGGTTAAGTGCATTCAACAACCCATCACCACTACCTCCTCCACCATCCCCTATGCAGAAAATATTACATACACAGATTCTGAGCTGTTTTGGCATCCAAAACTCTCAATTCTTTCACTTTCTTCTTTGCAGGCATAGACTTCTTTTCTTCTGAAGCTTCAACATTTTTTTGAACTGAAAAACAAAGTTGATTCATAAACAACAATGATACTAATCCAAGTACACGGAATAACATTAGTAAGGCATATTAACTACATTAATTAAAGCTTATTCTGAAATCAATAAATGTGTTTATTTCATTAGCTCAAGGAAGGGGGTAAACATAAAAATATAGACCTGTTCAGAGGTTTCCCTACAAATTAAATATCAGCATTTAAACAGAAAAGATAAGCCAAATAGCCAAAAATCAATTGCTGCTTCTTACCTAATGTGCAACATTAATTACTTCTTTACCAGGCAGCACTGGAATTAAGTATATTGTAAAATCTCACTAATTTGGACTAATTGAGGCAAAAGTAAGACTTTCCTTTCTCCTAAAATATGCTAAATTTTAGACATTTATTTAATTCAATGAAATTGCTTTAAACCACCTAAGGTAACTGTAACTGCTAACAGGTTGCCATAGAAAAAGCACTGCTGAGTCTGCTCTCAAGAATGGATATAAATCATCTGCATGTTGTATAACAATAGCATCCATTTGCATACACATAATTAGAGAACCACAAGGATGTAGTCTTTTAGGGAAGTTATCTTTGTTGACCTCACTACTTAAACAAATACACTATTTGCTTTCTGAGAATAGATTTACCTGTGCTTTGTCAAAAGGAAACTGTCTAATTCAAACTGGTTAAAAGGACTGACATTGTCAGGAGTGCCAGCACCAAGCAGGGCTTTAGACCCCACCCTCATCCCATAATCAGTCAGTTCATTTGAAACCCTCCTCCAAGTAAGTCAGTTCTAAAATCATACAGCTAACTCTGAAAATGAAGCATGAAGTTGAAACCCAGCCCTCTGACAGTGCTTTGGATGCAGATGCTAGATTCTATCAGCTTCTCAGTCTCCCAATATCTCCTTCCTTTAGTTTAAAGTGTTCTTGCCTTTCTTTTAGAATTGCAAATCAAACTCTTACTAAAATTAGCTGACTGAGAGGTGGGAGTGGTGCAGCTGACTACCTACAAGGTCCTGCAAGACAAAAAGGCCATTTATCTCCCTTGAAGATAACATTTTCAGTGTTCCTTCATGTCTTGAGGATCTTGAGGAGTATCCTTTCCAAAAACCTCAGCCCAAGCAAAAAGTGACCTACAGTTAGCCCATAGACTGTCTGAAGCCCATTTTACTGCTATCAAAATTCCCCAAAGAACATGACATGGGCAATCCATCAAAGGAGAGCCACGAGCAGTGCAGACCAACCAAGAACTTTGATAGGAACTGAACATTCACTCCTCAGCCTCAATTTCAACCTATAAGCACCTGTACCCCTAATCTCTTAGGGAGAATTAAGTGATAGCTGTCAGGTTTAAGGTTCTTTGCTTTGCAATAAATACCTACTGTTTTCCACCATCCTGATGTCAGTATTGGTTTGCTGCACATTGGGCAAGCGGATCCAGTTTTGGAGATTTTATAGCAATTCCTCCAACCAATTTTGGGGGGTATTCTGTAACAAAGTCAAATCCCTAAACTCCTGTTGTATAGAAAATTCTATAGCTTGCATTGTAGACTGGCTGGCACTTCACTTCTTCCAATGTAAAAATAAGGGTTGTAAGTAATGAGACTATAAATTATATGAGAAAATAGGCTCAACATTTTTTTCAATCAAGTAGAGTGATAGGCATATGCTCCCAAATCCATGATAATAAATTTAATCATTGATTCACATGGCCATAATCATGCTGTTTCTCCCATCCAAGTACTAACCAGGCCGACCCTGCTTAGCTTCCGAGATCAGATGAGACTGGGCATGTTCAGGGTGGTATGGCCATAGACAATCATGATGTTTTTTTTTTATTACTATTAAAAATATAACTTCACTTTGAGGTAATAATGATATTAATCAGTTTAATTCATCTAATCTTTATTAAGGAGATCACAAACAAATTACTGATTTTCTCTTTTAGAGGAAAAACAACACAAAACAACCACAATGCACTTTTGTTCAGGTAATGTGTTTAAAGCTATTAGTACTGGGAAATTTTCATGATACGTTATAGAACGCATCAAGATACTGCAAATCTACTAAGACTCCTTTTGTTTTAATGGTGCAAAATACAGAAACATGAAATGAACTTACTACAGAAATAATGGGTAAAATATATTACCTTAATAACTAAAGTCCTTACAGTTCTATGCTTTATTAGACTGATCAATATAAAGTAATGTACAATTTAAGAAGATGAGATAATAATTACACTTAAAAAATTATGATCATGGGGCTGGCACTGTGGCATAGCAGGTAAAGTGCCACCTGCAGTGCCAGCATCCCATATGGGTGCTGGTTCAAGTCCCAGTTGCTCCACTTCCAATCCAGCTCTCTGCTATGGCCTGGGAAAGCAGTAGAAGATGGCCCAGGTCCTAGGGTCCTTGCACCCATGTGGGAGACCCAGAAGAAGCTCCTGGCTCCTGGCTTCAGATAGGTGTAGCTCCGACTGTTGCAGCCAAATGGGGAGAGAACCAGCAGATGGAAGACCTCTCTCTCTCTCTCTCTCTCTGCCTCTCCTTCTGTGTGTAACTCCAACTTTCAAATAAATAAATAAATCTTTAAAAAATTATGATCTTATGAGAGATGACAAGCAGTCTGTCATATTAACTCAACACAACTGAGTCACCATTACTACTCAGAGAGAAATGGCTTTTAATATGTTTCTCTTAAAATCCTCACAAATGTTCCTCAAAGGATCTTTCAGGGGCTGGCATTGTCGTGAGTTAAGCTGCCACTTGTAACACCAGCATCCCAGATCAAAGTGCCAGTTCAAGATCTGCTTCTGATCCAGCTTCCTGACAATGTGCGTGAGAAGGTAGCAGGTGATGGCCCAAGTACTTGGGTCCCCACCAGCATGTGGGAGACCAAGCTGGGGTTCTTAGGCTCCGGTTTGGGGCTGCCAGGCCTGGATGCTGCAGCCATTTGGAGAGTAGACCAGCAGACAGAAACCTTTCTCTTTCTCTGGTTCCCTCTTCCTTCCTCGTTCTCTCAGATGCTCTGCCTTTCAGATAAATAAATCTTAATCTTCCTATAAGCACACTGACTTTCCTATGTAATAATCAACATTTTAATTCATTCTATTTGAAGTTTCAGCTTAAGAAAACTCTGTGTACTGAAATAACATTTGAATAGTTATTTCCTCTGCTTATTTTTAAACAAAAAGTTTGGATGGGTATTCTGCCTAGCAGTGAAGAACCCTCATCACATATTGGAGTACCTGGGGTTGATAACAGACTCCAGCTCCTGATTCCAGGTACCTGCTAATGTAGACCCAAGGTGGCAACAATGATGGCTCCAGTAAACTGCACTCCTGCCATCCACATGGGAGACCTGGATGTGTTTATGGCTCCCAGCTTCAGCCCCAGACCAGCTTCAGCAGTTACAGACATTTGGGAAGTGAACCAGCAAATGAGAGCCCGCTTTCTCTTTCTCTCTCAACCTCTCAAATAAATAAAGTATTTGAATAATATTGAAATTGCTTCTTGAATAATTCAGAAATGTTAAGAAAATTGTTCTAATTTATTTTTTTAAATATTTTTTTAAGATTTATTTTATTCATTTGAATGACAGAGTTACAGAGAGAGGTAGAGAAAGAGAAAAGGTCTTCCATCCGCTGGTTCACTCCCCAGGTGGCCACAATGGCCCGAGCTGCGCTGATCTGAAGCCAGGAGCTAGGAGCCTCCTCCAGGTCTCCCACGTGGTGCAGGTGCCCAAGAACCTGGGCTATCTTCCACTGCTATCCCTGGCCATAGCAGAGAGCTGGATCGGAAGAGGAGCCGCCAGGACTAGAACTGGTGCCCATATGGGATGCTGGCATTATAGGCCAGGGCTTTAACCCACTGCACCACAGCACTGGCCCCTCTAATCTCTTGATATGCCTTAAAATTCAGTAGGGGAGACTAGTTAACAAAGTATATATAGGATAATGTGGTAGCATGAGGATATATGAGTATTACGATTATTCTGCAAATTAACAGGCTCTTGATTAACCAAAGCACAGATCTTGGGTTATTTTAGATGACTCCATACTTGTTTGCATTTTTCCATTAAAATATAAACAAATTTCATCTTTTAAAATTAATAAAATGTTTAAAATTAAGATTAGACCTGGGGCCGACACTGTGTTGTAGTAGGTAAAGCTGCCGCCTGCAGTGCTGGCATCCCATATGGGCCCCAGTTCGAGTCTCGGCTGTTCCACTTCTGTTCCAGCTCTCTGCTGTGGCCTGGGAAAGCAGTAGAAGATGGCCCAAGCCCTTGGGCCCCGGCACCCACATGGGAGACCTGGAAGAACCTCCTGGCTCCTGTCTTCGGATTGGCTCAGCTCCAGCCATTATGGCCAATCGGGGAGTGAACCAGCGGATGGAAGACCTCTCTCTCTCTCTCTCTCTCTCTCTCCCTCTCCCTCTCCCTCTCTCTCCCTCTCTTTCCCCTCTCGCTGTATAACTGTGACTTTCAAATAAATAAATAAATAAATCCTTAAAAAAAGATTAGACCTCCTAAATATCTATAGTTCCCAGTACTGCCTTTTGAACCCTAATATGTTTTCCTTGCTATACAACATGGGTTAAATTCTGGGTTCAAAAAGTGGTAAGAATTTCATGGGGGCCAGCACTGTGGCCAGAGGGTTAAGCTGAAGCTTGTGATGCCAGCATCCTATACTAGAGCAATTGTCACGTCCCTGCTGCTCCACTTCCAGTCCAACTCCCTGCTAATGTGCCTATGAAAGCAGCAAAAGATGGCCCAAAGTACAAAGACCCATGCCACCCACATGGGAGGCACCAGAATGGAGTTCCAGGCTCCTGGCTTCAGTCTGCCACAGACCTGGATGCTGCACCCACTTGAGGGTGAACCAGCAGATAGAAGATGGATCTCTCTCTCTCTTTGCTTTTCAAATAAAATAAATCTTTAAAAAATAATTCCATGAATGGGCACTGCTCTTTTGCGAATCATTAAAGTAAAGCAAATTTAAAATAGTTCA